CGTTAAACAATATTACGATCAATCAATCAAGGTCATTGAAAAATGAGATGATGTTATGCTCATAAATTTTAGTCAAAAACTTTGTGATTTTATTGGCACGTTCTGTATTGTTGTTCCCCGCTTTCATTGAAAATGGGACACATTAATTTGGGTCTGTTCCGTTTGTCTGTCTGTTTTCTGTCTGTGTGAAACACTTTCCTTTCTGGACGATATTTCAAAAAGTCTTTGAGCATTTCAATGAAATTTTATATCGCAACTCCCTATGGTCTAAAGAAAAGCCCTATCGATTTTGACGTTAAAGGTCAAAGCTTGGTCAAGGTCAGATATTCATACATTTCAAGAAATGGTTTTTTTTTTTTTTTTTTTTAGCTTTTTAATGAAAATTTACACAGACAATTATAAAGACAACCCCTATTGATTTTGAAGTCAAATATAAAAAGAAATTCATACATTGCGAAAATTGGTTTTCAGATGACAACAAATTTTCTTTGAGCCTTTTCAAAGAAATTTAATATCGTAGCTCTTTGTCGCTTAAAGACGATCTCTAAAGGTTTTAAGGTCAAAAGATCAAATGTCAATATCAGAAATACAATTATTGCAAAAAATGTTTTCTAGAGTAAAACTTTATTTTTCTTTAACCCTTTTCAATCAATTTTTTTTTATCATGACTCCCAATGACTTAAAGAAGACATCTTTTGATTTTGAGGTTTAAGGGTGAAGGTCAAAACTTCATATCTTGTACAAAATGGTTTCCTGATGATAACTTGGGTTCTCCACTAGGTTTCGCAATACAGTGTTATACCTTTAGTCAACATGGCTTAAAAAGAACCGTTTTGATTCTGAGATAAAAAGGTCAAAGTTAAGGTCAAAAATTATATGTCATGTATGTTGCATACATAGTTTGCAGATGATAACTTTGGATTTCTGTAAACTCTTGCTGAAAGGTCAAAGTCGATCTTTTTCTTTCGCTACTGCATTTTTTTCCCAGGTCTTCTTTGCTCCTCGTTTTGTTTTCTTGAGCGGGGGACACAATATTCCCTTTATGAACTTGTACGTTCTATATTCACTTGAATTTCCTTTTTTTTTTTTTTATTTAATATCATGGTGTGTTATCTGGAATGTTATGGCTCAATAAATATTTGGATACTATTTTCCCTTTCCGTTTGGTCTTTTTGAAAGATAATGATAACCTTTCAAATAATATTATTTTTTTCCATTTCTTAAAGATTTCGATAACTATCAAGTACTAATAGTTATCATATACGAGGGGTTATCAAAAAGTTCGTGGACTAGCGCCATAAAATTAAAACCGCTTTAGGTACATCAATGAATTTTTACACATTTAGTTAGCATCATCTTTTCTATCTATAGGATAAACCATAAATCATAAGTTTTATTTTTTAATAAATTGTTAATGTTTTTGTAAGCAATCGTATGTCCAGGCGGCGCAACCTCAAATATGACGTTTTTTTCTACTTGAGTGTAACTGAAAAAAAACTCTTTTGATACGAGCATTTGTCCTAAAAAAATCCCGTTAATTCAGATATTTGGTACGACGCAATTGTTCCGTAAAATTTGCAATTTTTACCCCATTCTGTAAGTTCTATGAAATTTTATCGTAAGTTTTATATGGAGTGTCCAAACAATTAAGGGCTTGAAAATGACGTCAAAAAGGGGGAGGGGTTTCTTTTTCCTACATTCTACATTGTTTCGCACCTGGAAAAACTGGTATAGACCTAGGGAATGTTTAAACAGGCTACAGAAAAATAAAATGCATCCAAAGTACTCGTTTTAAATACCCAAAAAGATTCAGAGAGATGAAAGATGCACAGTTAATGTCGATTTGTAGTTATTGTGTCAAAAGTCAGTCACGTCGAAAAGTGACGTTGATCATGTGTGGTAGAAAATGAACTCCAACAAGCGAAGTATTCTGGCATAATCAAGTTCTGATCTTTCCCTATGTATAGATCCATTTACTATATTATATGCATTGAAAGCAGCTGTTCATGACATTGTAAAGTCATATAAACAAGACGGGATTAAGTCTTACTTATTACTCCAGGTAATTTCATCAAGATAAGTGTATGAAGTAGATAGAGCGGTCATTGAGAAACAATGACGTTGTCGGACGTCATGAAACAAAACGGCGACAGCGCCGGGTGATCATATAATGTCTTTTTTATTTTAGAATAATTTGGCAAATTATCAATATATCGAGCTAAAATTTTCAACATTTCTTAAACTTTTGTTGATTTATGTTCCCTATAAATTTTGTAAGCACAGACTACATAGTATTAATTTTATCGAATCAGTCCACGAACTTTTTGATAACCCCTCGTAGTTATGGTGTGAGCTATTATAAGAATTTTTTTTTTTATTTCGAGCTTTAATGAAATTGTTAGGCTGTGAAGGAACAAGCTCGGTAGAACTTAACGATCGCACTACTACAGATTGGAGAGTTACAAAGATTTCTTCGGTACTCATTCGATTCTGAGTTTGGTATGTAGCACTTAACCATTAGTCCATTACAATCTCAAAATGATAATAGGTACATGAGGTATTTTAGATAAACTAGAATTTAAGTAGGATTTGAATCTCGATAAAAAAAAGTTTTTGACATTTTTATACCATTTGTCCTTGGAGTTTGGCCTACTTTTGAAAAACTTTAATCTTGGCCATAAGTTTTGAATGGTTGGAGATGGGACTTTCATATTTCACAAGTGTATTTCTTTCTCAAGTCCTTTCCTTGGGTACCAACAATTTTGACCTTGGAGTTTGATCTACGTTTTAAAAACTTAAACCTTGGCCATAGTATTTGAACTGTTGGTGCTAGGGCTTTTATATTTCACATATGTTTCTTTGTTAGAAGAACTTTCTTTGGATACCAACATATTTGACCTCTTGACCTTGGAGTTTGAAAAACTTTAACCTTGGCAATAACTTCTGAACGCTTAGTGCTAGGACATTCATAGGTGTACTTCTTGTGACAAGACCTTTTCTTAAGTATCCCTATTTTTATATCATGACCTTGAGCTTGGAGTTTGACCTACTTTTGAAAAACTTTAACCTTGGCCATAATTTCTGAATGGTTGCTGCAAGGGTTTTCATATTTCACAGGTGTTTTTCTTGTGACAAGACCTTTGTTTTGGATACCAACATATTTTGATATCTTGACTTTGACCTTGGAGTTTGACATGTATTAGAGATACTTTAACCTTTGCCATCAGCTGCCATTCGGGAGCATCAGTGTTTCAAAAACACATCTTGTTTTTTTTTTTTTAAGTTTTAGAGTTAACCAAAGAAGGACACCGTCTTGCTCAATAAGTTATATTTATCAAGTGTTTTTAAAAGACATTATTTCTTATATTAAAAAGAACATACGCGCTCTTCTATGATAGAAACTAAATATAATTATATGTGGTTAAAATGGCAAATTCGAGATTTAAAATGGCAAATTCGGGATTTACCACTGGCGGGGAGTGTGAAATGTAGTGGGTTGTGAAAAATAGTGGATCTGTTTAATTACTTCTCTCTTCCCGAAAGAAACGTTCTTTTCATACTTCGTGAAAATCAAAGATTTTCATTATAGATTAGAAAAATACTCTTTGCTTGCCCCCCCCCCCCCCGAAAAAATGATTACTTTGGCCATTCTTATTTTCTTTTTTCATTTTTAAATAAAACTTTTTTAAAATTTATGTCTTCCATGGAGCTTTAACCATTTAACTCTCTGTTATGTGACACCTTTAGATATATGATGGACTAGCACTTCACTACGTATGAAAATGAAAGCTGGAACCTCTACGGTGTGAAGCTGGAACCCCTGACTTGGGAAGATGTTTCTGATGCTGAAGTCTAAATTCACGTCACTCATTACAATACAATTATTGTCTCGATAAGTTTATTATCTGACGACCTGCAATGGTAAATCGGTTTCTTGTAATTTGAACATCAAATGGAATCGAATGTAGATCATTTACCTATTCTCCTTGCTAATAATAATGGAATACATGTACATAAAATTGAAATTATTATTTAATATGACTTGAACGTTAATGTAATTGAATTTATAAGCCATGGTCTATCGAGTTTCTTACAAAAATTAATTAATTTCATTTGATCTAAGAGTAAAAAACAGATCTGCCTGTAAAAAATAAATGTTAATGTCATTAGAGTTCCATTATGTACAGTTAAACTAAATTTACGACCGTACAATAACATGAACCAACAGAATCCGTTATACGGCGTCAACAGATCAGGTCTCCGGGGGACCGGTTATCCTGTGAATTTGTAGACCGACACGTAATAGATCACAGCATATAATCTAATATGTGTCTAACTTATTCAGCGCCATGAGATTCGGATGATCTTGTAGTTTTACGGCCCTGGGAGATGCTCATCTCTTGACAAGATTCATATTAGGGACTATAGATCAATAACAACTCCTGTCTGACTTAGAGCAATAGGCAATTGGACTTTGATTAATATGTATTTATGCAGTTAAGGATATTTCAGAATATAAATGGCGATGGTCGGATCAAATTTATTGAAATTATAAAGATGAAATATATTTAGCCTCGGAGAAAATTATTTCAGAGAATAATGGACGTTTTCTCAGTTTATTGGTAGATTCTATAAATGAACAATGGAATATTAAAAAAAAACTCTAGAGATATGCTAAGAATGGATTAAAGGCATCACAATTAAATAGGTTTTACTAATGAGTAACATGAGTAAATAAATCAGTTTCATATGATTGCTTCTATAAGAAAGGACTGCATTCATTTTAAATAAATACTCTAAATTATGATTTGTATTGGAAGAACAATTTTACACATTAAAGAAAATTCTGTAATTCACGCGCTATCATACATTTTACAAGTGGAATGTTCTTGAGACAAATGACAAAAGGTTTGAAGATGAACGCTATATATTCATGTTCAATCCTTCATTTAAAACACTAGGCTTTATTAATCAATTTTTAGATAATTATGTCGGCTTACCTGTCCTTTTCATTCGTTAATCCAATGACACACTACTAAATGGAAGAAGTTCAGCTCTTTGGCCACAGTGACAATACCCTGTATCGCAATTAAATTCGTTCGCTCAATACCTTCTGAAGCACGCGAGATCCAGTAAAAATCCTTATTGAAACACCCGCTAAAATCTGATGAGGAAATATCCGTGGACCTGTATCGAGTGAAGAGGTTCCACAGCCTTGGCGACCATCACGCTGCGAGAGTGCTGTATGTTGCCGGTGTCGCATAATATTTGGTCCGCCTCGTTTAAAGGTCCGGGGGGGACCTAATACGATAACATATAAGGTCCGCCTTTTATAAGAAAAGGTCCGGCCCGTATAAGAAAAGGTCCGCCGAAGTTTAAAGGTCCGGGTGGTGCAAAATGTTTTAATCTTGACTTAAACACATAAAATTAAAGAGAGTTTGTTTACATCATATGAAGAAAGATTAAGGATTTACTCTAGCTGTTGTGTTTATATTTTTGTACAATATATCTCTTAGGGCAGGAATTGCTACTCCATGTTTAGTGTGCTTAGCAATACCGTTTAGGGCAATGATTTAAAAAAAAATGTCGCATTTATTGGGCTTGTGTTTGTTTTTCCCCAGCATTTGCTTTGTGTAAATTAGGACGATTGAAGGTGTGAAATCTGCCGGTGTGTATAGGCAATAAAACAATGAGGGTGTGAAGTATTCGTATACCTGACAGGTACCCGCAGGTAGAGCCCGCGGCAGATAGCAATGACAATGTAATGGTCATGTGTTTGCTTTAAATCAATAGATATGAATTCTCTATTTTAATGAATTATGCTGAAGAACAAATTATAATACTATTATAATATTCATGCGTACACATCAAAATTGTGATATAATTATATAATAATATATAGTCTATTTTTATCACAATATTTAAAGAAATTTCTTATTCCAAGTGTAGAGTTTAATACTAAGACCGATAAAAAAAATAAAAGTATGTATATGCTTCCCTTTAGTTTTAACAATTAACTTGTTTTCAGTTTATAATAATATTTTGCCCTTTATTTGTGGATAGGGTAATATATAGCCTAATGTTGTATTCGATCTGTATTTACTGCAGAAACAAAATACATGTAATGTTAAAGCTTAAAACAGGTAATTCAATATTGAAAACATATACATCAGATTTAAAGTATAATCATGGTTTGGATTTAATTCTTTCTTATCAAAATATCACTCTTCCTCGTCATAATGAACTACATATGAAATAATATTTCATTTTTGTATTATTATTATTATTATTTTTTTTTTTTTTTGCCAAAAGAAAAAGAAAGAAAAAGAAATTACACATTTTACTGTGACTATAATAGACAGACTGTGGGATAATCTATCAGGCTGTATTGCATGACCGATTTGAAATCATTATTGTAAAATATTTTCTTTTATTACCGACATGAAGCATTTTGGGCAAAGTTGAATGTCCAGTTCTATATACAAGTTATTTATGTATCTCACGTCTGTATGAACGGGGGAAGGGGGAGGGAACATCAGTTGATCCTCTTCCTTTTTTTTTTTGCGTATCAAGGAATTTCTATTTTCTACATTAATTTGTGCTATAACCCCCCCCCCCAATGCACCCAGAAATATACTGACTGATTGTTTCTGGGGACGTTGTCAAGCGTGCGTCATATTTCCCATTTCAAGCTACATGATATGTACATTTTCGTGATGTTGACTAGAAGCGTTTCAGTCTAATTTTAAATCAAAAGTATATTTCTTTTATAAAACGCTGATTATTTATGATTATTTATTTTATTCATTTATGGAAAGTGGCAACTCACGGCTATCCGGAGAAAAAAGGTAATTCATGGTTTTCCATCATGAGAGTCCAAGCTGCAGACAGCTCAGTATTACGTTACGCTACAACTCCATACCAAGTAGTGCCGGAGAATTGACACTGTATGGAGTATGACTGAGAGTCATACTCCATACTCTCCGGGACTTCTTTCCCTATGAATAATGATATGGAGTAATACAGAGCTGTCTGGAGCTTGATTGAGAGTGATCTGTAGAATTTTCTACGCGGTGAAAACCAATAAAGTGTATTGTTTAGTACCACTACACCTGCTCAAGAGTTTTTTAAAAAAAATTCTTTACGAAAGCTAGGAATTCGAACTTTGCCAATCTCCTTAAATTATCCTTTTCGAAGTCCTCAGTCATTCTCCATGGTAACCATGGAGGAAATAATACAATCGGTCTCATGTAGTCATGACAGAATTTTTGAAGTTCGATTTTTTTTAATGCTATACATTGCACATATGTCGTTTCGGATATTACCTAACAATTTTGAATAATGATTATACAGGCGCAGATCAAGAATTTTTCCGGGGGGGGGGGGGGGGGGGCATCCCAGTCATAAAAATTTCTAACCCAAAGATTTCTTGACAAGGAAGAAAAAAAACGTAAAATCCAATTCCATTTCCAAAACGGGAAAAACACCTATTTCGTGGTGGTGATGGTAGGTTCCACGTTTTCTAAGGGGGCCCAAAGTCATTTTTTATTTACTTCAGTATATACTTTTAATAACTCTGCAAATTCCAGATGGGGGGGGGTCCCGACTCCCCCCCCCCCCTAGCTCTGCGCATGTTATATGAATAATTTCGGTAGTGGCTGGAGAAATTTCCGGTAATACATTGCATCTCAGGTGAGGAAGAGGGGGAGGGGTGGCAATAACACCTTCTTTAAATTTCCATCTGCTCCTTGCGTATCAAGTACGTAGAAAATAAACACCATCTGGTGTATTAAAGATTTTTTTTACTTGTCACACAAGGCATTTACCACATACATTATGTACGTAGTGTTGATGAACCCCTTTCTTATTTTTAAGGTGATTATTTTCCCAATTCATTGTATGAATACAGAAACAAATACTCCCTCTTTTTCATGCTATATGAATCAAAGTCTATAGATACGGATACAGTACAACTAATGATCATTCTAACATAACATTTTTGTGATATACATGGATAATAAATCTGAATATATCTTTTGATTGTATGTGGTGAATATATTCTAGATAAATATATATTGTACTACCATTATACATTCAGATTCGTCACTGCCTTTTATAAAAGAATCGTCCTACGATTTCCCAAGACCTTGACATAAAATAAGAGGCCCATGGGCCACAACGCTCACCTGAGTCAATAAGGCCCTGCTGTTTTTCATCAGCAAATTTATTCTAACATATCTTCCAATGTAAAACATTAATCACTATTGTGACCCCACCCTACCCCAGGTGTCATGATTTTTATAGATATAGCGCTAGCCCCACCCTACCCCTCGGGGTCATGATTTAAACAAACTTGAATTTACACCACCTCAAGATACTTCTATATCAATGTGACTAAACATGGCTTTCTTGTTCCTGAAAAAAAAGGTTTTCAGAATTTTTTTCCTATACATTCACATGCTAAACCCTGATAGTGCATTGTGGCCCATCCTACCCCTAGGGGGTCATGGTTTGATTGATTGATTGATTAGGGTTTAAAGCCGAGTCGGCTATATTTCAGCCATATTCCGGCGGAAAATTAATTTTATATGACCTGTTATCATGGTTTAAACAAATTTGAATCTACAATACCTGAGGATGTTTCCATATCAATCTGACTAAAGATGGCTTTGCTGTTCTTGTGGAGAAGATTTTTCGATATATATATCCTATGTAAAACTTTGATCCCCCATTGTGACCCCACCCTACCCCGGGGGTCATGATTTGAACAAACGTACATCTACACTAACTGATGATGCTTCCATATTAATATGACTAATCATGACATTGTTGTTCTTAAGAAGAAGATTTTTGAAGACTTTTTCCTAGATATTCCTATGTAAAACCTTAATCCCCCGTTTTGATCTATCTATTACAAAGAAAAAATTATAGACAGGGTTTTTTTCTGTAGCATGAAAAATAGAGAAAGGGGCAGGGCGGACCTTAAAACGCAGTATAATAAAAGCCCCGCCTTCTGTATTTCAGATATCGTACTATTACAAGGCGAAAACTTTGAACAGGTTTATTTTCGTAGCATAAAAACTAGAGAAAGAGGCAGGGCGGACCTTAAAACGCAGTAAAATAAAAGGTCCGCCCTCTGTTTTTCAGATATTTTACCATTAGAAAGCAAACATTTTGGGCAGGGTTTATTTTCGTAACATAAAAACTAGTCAAAATGGCAGGGCGGACCTTAAAACGCGGTATAATAAAAGGTCCGCCCTCTATATTTCAGATATCTTACTATTACAAGGCGAAAATTTTGAACGGGGTTGATTTTCGTAGCATACAAACTAGAGAAAGAAACAGGGCGGACCTTAAAACGCAGTATAATAAAAGGTCCGCCCTCTATATTTCAGATATCTTACTATTACAAGGCGAAAATTTTGAACGGGGTTGATTTTCGTAGCATACAAACTAGAGAAAGAGACAGGGCGGACCTTAAAACGCAGTATAATAAAAGGTCCGCCCTCTATATTTCAGATATCTTACTATTACAAGGCGAAAATTTTGAACGGGGTTGATTTTCGTAGCATACAAACTAGAGAAAGAAACAGGGCGGACCTTAAAACGCAGTATAATAAAAGGTCCGCCCTCTATATTTCAGATATCTTACTATTACAAGGCGAAAATTTTGAACGGGGTTGATTTTCGTAGCATACAAACTAGAGAAAGAAACAGGGCGGACCTTAAAACGCAGTATAATAAAAGGTCCGCCCTCTATATTTCAGATATCTTACTATTACAAGGCGAAAATTTTGAATAGGGTTGATTTTCGTAGCATAAAAACTAGAGAAAGAGACAGGGCGGACCTTAAAACGCAATATAATAAAAGGTCCGCCCTCTATATTTCAGATATCTTACTATTACAATGCGAAAATTTTGAACGGGGTTGATTTTCGTAGCATACAAACTAGAGAAAGAGACAGGGCGGACCTTAAAACGCAGTATAATAAAGGGTCCGCCCTCTATATTTCAGATATCTTACTATTACAAGGCGAATATTTTGAACAGAGTTTATTAAAAGTTATCGTAGCGTAAAAAAAAAACTCGTTAAAATGGCAGGGCGGACCTTAAAACGCAGGATAATAAAAGTCCGCCCTCTGTTTTTCTTTTTTCCCACATACATGTATCTCACTTACAAAGCAAAAATTATGGAAATGCTGTAAGTTCCTATTGTTTTTTTTTTCTTTGTTGGTTCGTGTGTTTTTCCA